TAATAGTTTCTCTGCAAAAATACTGCTTCTTCTGCACAGACAGCAAATAATAAAATGCCAAATTTAAGGGGTGAGTGTTTGCATAAAGTATATGGTATAAAATTATATTTTTCATAACATTTGATATAGCAATGACATCCATTGTATGTCAATATACAATCAAACAAATACAACTAATAAAGGAAGTTATTTCTTATTGATTACAACTGGGATGGCAAAAACTGTAATACCACCTAGTGAGAAATAAATGTATTATGGTCTGGTCATCAAATGGAAAAACAATGCAGTATTAGAAAGAAAAATACCTCTTCTATGCTAAATTAATATAGAAATATATCTACTATTTTATTTTTAAAATAAGTAGAGCATATACCAGAAAAAGATGGAAGCAGATAATCAAAAGTCAAGAATGATCAAGAAACTGTACATAGTTTTGTCAAACATGGGAGGGGCAGAGGGATTTCATGGTTCAGTGTTTGCCAACTGGATTTAAGAGAGAGACATGTGAGGTGATTCCCATGGTGTAATATTCCCAACACCTTAGATTCTGAGCTACCAATACAATGTGACCAGCGATGGGAAGATGGCCAGTACTCTTTTTTAGAGTTTTGGCTTTGTTTTGTTGTTTTGAATTGGGAGTAGAGGACAAGAAGGGATGATTCTCAATGAGTAAACTTTCTCCAATGCAGGATGAATACATTTGAGGAGTCTGCTGTACAACATAGTGCCTGTACTTAATAACTTCCATCATTAAACAAAGTATGCCATTTTGTTAGAATAAAATGAAGGTAGGAATGTTGCTGTTACTAAAGTGAACATGTGGGTAACCTGTTGCCAATCAAGGATTTGATGAGGACTCATGGCTCTTTCAGATGAAGAAAAGAGGCTACTGTTTAAGTCATACAGCTCCATGGTACCTTCTACATTAGGCTCACATTTTCTTTGCATTATCACCGTTTCTCTATCAGGGAGGTGTTGGCTACAGTGTGAATGTTTTTGTCTACAAATTCAGAAGTTGTAAAATCTAACCACCAGCTGTTACTGAAGTCTTTGGGAGGTAATCAGGATGTAATCCTTCATCCTTTTCTGGGGGGGGGGGGTTGGCAGGAGAGAATCAGAAAGTAGTGCTGACCAGATGTTGAATCTGCCTGCATCTGACATCCTGGTTTCTGAATGAGGAGAAAAACATCCCTGTTCTTCACAGTATTACTACAGCAATGTAAATGCACCAGGATAGTTTTAGCAACTCATAGTGGAGAACAAAGGGTATAGAGAAGTGGCCTGGCTACTCTCTGTCAGGCTGTTCAATGACTATGGCAGAGGCCTGGAGGATGGGATAGCAACTGTGCTCCAGGCTCACAGATGGTGTCTGGAGACCCATAGTCTGTATTTTGCAAATATTTTTTGTTGTTTCAATTTTCTGTTCAGCAGATGGCACTCTTGTGATTTACTTAGCAAAAGATAAAAGAACTTGAGAGTCTGAGGCCAGAATTTAAAAAAAAAAAATCACAAGAAAAAATAGTGGGTTGCACTGAAGGCCTTGAATTAAATGCACACTCTCTGAGGTCCTTGGGGAAGCAATGGTAAACTTCAGGAAGAGTGCCATTTGCTCACAAGGGAAGATATCAAGATACCTTGTTATCTTTACAAGATGCAGCCTGGAAATCTCTTTTTTGTCTGGTTTTAATTAGGGGCCTCCTGTGAGATCTGGGGAGAAGGGGCTCTCTAGTGTTAGGCTGTTCAATATCATGCTTCCTGAGACCCAATGAAGCTGAAGTTTTGAAGTGTGGTGGGTTAAGTGCTCTGGGCCCAGTGATGGGTAGTTTGCATAGCATTTGCAGTGGTTTAGTCAGTGTTCTATTGCTGTGAAGATACACTCATCACCATGGCAACTCTTATAAAACAAAGCATTTTATTGGGGCCTGCCTGCTTACATTCAAAAGTTTAATCCTTTATTGGCATGACAGGAAGCTTGGAAGCACTCACACAAACATGGTGCTGAAGAGGTAGCTGATAGTTTTACATCCAGATCAGCAGGAGGAGAGAGCCACACTGGTCCTGGCTTGAGCATTTGAAATCTCAAAGCACACTCCAACTAGGGAACACCACCTCCAACAATGCCACACCTCCAAATTCCTGTCAAGTAATGCCACTCCCTAATGGCCATACATTTAAATATGGGAAGGCATTCCTATTCAAGCCACCAGAAGGAGCCACTCAAAAACTTGGCTTAGGGAAAGGCATAAACTGAGAATCAAAGGGAAAAGGGGCATTGGGTTCAATCAACTTTTGCCAAAGTTCAGGAGAGAAATGGTATCATTTCACACACACCCCTGCTCCAGTCTGGTGAAAAAGGATGAACTGACTGTTTAGCATCCAGACCAGAGATTTCTAGAGCTACCCGTCTCACAGCTTATCTGCCAAGTACTTGTGATGACATGCACCAGGAGTCTTAGGCATTATTTTTCCAGTGTTCATTGTGTATCCTTGTACATTTCCCATTCATGCAATTCTTCCAGAAACCCCGTGAGTCTAATTAGAAAAGAAAAACCAGCCCAAAGCGATGATTCAATGAGTCATGGGCAGATGCAGCCATTGCTTGGACTCTGCATAGCTCCTTTTGTACTGGGCACAACAGTTCTTGGCAAATTCTAGAACCAGCTGCATCTCACAGAGGAAAGAATTGAGTCTCACAGGCTGTGATGTGCAGGAGTGACTGAGTTAACAAGGGTGTGACTTCTTAATATTCTTACTTAGATATTTCAGGGTTGACCAGGTAGAAGGATAAGAAGTATATTTATTCCATAAAACCAACAGGGAGAACTGAGGCTGAAGAAGGTTCTGCTTTGTGAGGAAGAGAAGACAAACTTTGGGAAAGGTCACAGACTTAGATAAAGGTCAGTGGACAGAAGCAGTTGTATGATAGTACCACTAAGCATGCTTCCAGCTGGCTGTACATAACCTGGAGTTTAAAGACCAAATGAAGGATTCACAGAGCTCCCTGTTTTCTGACACTTCAACAAGAGTGTTCACAACTTTTGAAAAAGAAAAATGTTTCACAAATGCTAGTGCCCACTCATGGCATCTGGTTAGCCCATATCTGTACTTCACATAATTGTGAAGTTTGCTATAGTATTGAATACAGGAAAAGAAGCACCTGCCCATATTATTGGTTGTTGCTGTATTCACACCTATGTTGAATGGATGAGTGAGTACACTTCATATAAGTCTACTTTGTCTGGTTGTTAACTATTACAGACATCATCCAATTACAATATTCCCTCAAACACTAACAGAGGAGATAAGAAGAAATGAAGAGTCAAGCCTAAAGTTTTGAAATGCTGGATGGTGGAGGTCAAGGCAAGCATTAGGTGACAGCCACATATCTACTGATCCCATTAAGCTGTTTGTTTCAGTTCTTGACAAGTTACCATCTGGGTTGTGTTTCTGACTGTGCCATGGAATGTACCATGTAGTGTCTAACTTTATTTCTCATTACTTCCTACTTCTTGACAGTCTAGTTCTTGCTACAGGCTCATAGGTGAATCAGCCCTTGAATGTTCTAGTTTTCTTATTCTTCAGGTTAGGAGGTTTCCTGGAGAAGTTCTTAATCCCCAGAGAACCAGGCCCCCATCTGGACATTTCTAGCCTAATTCAGGAACTGAAAAAAAACAGAACATAATTTAGTTTTCAATTGTTTTTAAGCAGACATCCTTTGGCTAACATGTCCTTCATCCTGGAACAACACACTTTCTCCTTGGATCCTTTGTGACATTGCACAAATAAATCCCTGTTGAACATGCTACTTATGTCCTCCTGGTCTGCCCTTCTTTTCCCTATTCTCATCCAAGTGTTTCCTTTTTCCCACCCCCTTTACTGATGTTTGCTTTTTAATATAATCACCCATCAGCATTTAAACTGAAGTGAGATGAATTTTAATGAGCCTGTCAAAACCTGTTTGTTTCTTTTTTTTCTCCTATCAGCTGAATGCTAAGTGAATGGCATCTTCTTGCACCCAGGAGGTGATGCATGGACAGAGTAGTCAAGGATGTGCTTTATCTGTGCCAAGGATACTTAAGGTGCCTTTAAATATACGTGAACAGTTACAGGCAAGAGTCTGTTCTGGGAACTGCCTGGTCATTTCTTCTACAGCTGCCCTGGCTCAATAAGACATGGGCATGGAAATAAGTTATAACAAGTTACACTAAGAGTCAGGTATGGTGCTGACACCAGTAACCAGAGCATTTAGGAAGAAGAAAGCTGAGGCAACGGCATTGCTGCCAAGTGTGAGGACATCCTGGGCTATAAGGTGAATTCAGGGCCAGCCTAGGCTATTGTGCTAAATTTATTCCTGCAAAATCTCTGATTTGTATCAATAGTCAAAAGAATAACAGGCAAAATTTCAATAGGATCTCAGCATTAAAGTCAGCAGAGGAGCTTTCTGGAAAGACTACAGCACTTCCACAGCTCAACTGCTGTACTGCTTTACTGTAAGAAGTAAGGTTTTTCCGCCACTGGTCTTGTCCCACTGCCGTGCCAGCCCCAAATAACACACCGAGTCTCTGTATTTGATATAATGCTGTTGGCCAGGTACTAGTTTCTTATCGGCTTGCTCTGTCTTAATTATTAACCCATTTCTATTAAATATAAGTACTTTCACGTGCTCTAATCTTACCGGGGAATGGGGCAGGCATCTCGTCTTCCTAGTCTCTCCATCTTGACTCCTCCTTACTACTTCCTCTTTCCTCCTAGTCTCCTAGTCCCGCCTATTTAGCTTTCCTACTGGCCAACATGAGAAACAGAATGGCATCTCCCATCATTTTACTGCTTTACTGCTTGCAGAATGACATGAAATAGTAACTGGAGGTGTCGCCTTTGTATGTGCCATGCCTGGATGAAATCAGGAAACCAGATATCCTCCTCTGGATTGCTGCACATTTCCTTTCTTTTTGGAAGATATAATGAGTCTATGTATCACTCACACTGCTCTTATGATTTACCTGTGTTGTAGCCCCTTCCAAGAGCTGGCCATGGACGGTGGTTTTTCCAGAGATTTCCAAGATACCAATCACTCTGGTTCTCTACCAAACCCAGGACCTGTTGCCCTATAAAACACAGAGAACACAGATGTCTTAGAAGCAGCAGCACAAGTATGTAGGGCTGTAAAGTATCAAACAGAAGAAATTATTATGCAGATCCTCATAAAACAGCCCCCACTGGAGGCTTTCATTAAGTGCTAGGTCCTAACCAGAGTGTTTAAGTTGCATTAATATATTTCCTTCTTACAATTAGGCAGCTGCTTTTTTAATCTCTATTTTACAGAGAAGAGTCAGCTTCCTAGAATGGTCATCTGTCTATTTCTGATAAAGTAAAAGGCCCCAACCATCCATCCATCTACCCACCCAACCATCCATCCTTCCATCTATGCACGCATGCACATATGCATTTCATTGGCAACATTAGGTATATCTTATGGCCGGACATAGTGATCTTCAAGATTCCAATATGATGTTTTCCACTGTATAATAATTTTTGGCTTTCTGCAGGTTTTTTTTTTTTGTTTTTTTTTAAGGAATTATCATTGTTTGATATGATGAGAGCCAATAGGGAACAGCCCCTCTTCAGCCAGCTCCTCATAGTGCTTACTACTTCTAAATTACATCCATATCAATAAGGACATGTAAATATCATGTCAATGCAATAGTGTCATCTGGAGGGATAAGTATTCTTCTGTCACCATAGTTGGCTTTGTCTCTGCTATACCATAATATTTCAGAAGGCTTGTAGCCCATCATTTAGGGCTGTGTTTCCAGGGAGTCATTAACACATTTGGAGATATATATCATCACTAGGGGACATGTGTCTGGAACGTAGATAGGACTGAATCTCTAAGCCTTCCAGGCATGTTATCAAACCTACCTGGTTTCATTGAAACATTCCAATATAAGACATCAGTAAAAAAATGTGTATTATAATTAACCCCATCAATTTATTGACTGGGGAATGAGTCTTCATACAATCAGTGATTAATACAAATACTGATGGAGCTAGTATATAAGTTTGCATTTGTCTGACATCCAGATGCTTTTCTTTTCAAATCATTAGTGATTATTCTCATAACAAATGTTCGAAGTAGGTATCATTAATCCACATTTCATAGAAAGAGAAACTGAGGCTTAGGAACTTTAAATGATTTGCTAACAGTCACACAATTAGCCAAACACAGCTAACCATGTGAAGTAAAACTCATACTGTTGGCCAATCTGAGAGATAAAGAGATTTCTAACCAAATAAAAATCCAGCAGCATGCTAAGAACATACAGCAACACTGCTGGAACTCCACCCTGGTTGATATAGGACCTCCTTGGTATAAGGACAGTTCTGTGAAATGATGGTGCAAAGGTTTGGTATAATTTCTTTGATTAATTTACTGAGTTGCTATCTAAATCATCCTAGCACAAACACATAAATTGGAGGCATGGGAAAAATACTACCACCCATTTTGTCAATGTAGATGATCATATCCCAAACTATAGAATCCCTTCAAAAAGTGTGTCCTCAACTTAAGGAGTGCAAGAACCAATCAATACCTCATGCAATAGCCTTGTGATTTGGTGCAAAACAACCAGCTCACAAAGGCTTGGATCCCTTAACTAAACAGCTGTAAACAAAATCCTGGCAATAGAGAATAATTTGATAACCCTACATAGGATCATGGGACAAAACTAAAATAGTTCTTGGTGACAGCGTTTACTAATTAAGGGTTAGTATCACCAATCATTTTGGTGATCATTTGGCATCAAAAGCTCAGACCTGAGAAAAGTGTGACTGTTTGAATGAGGAATGCCCTATGCTCAGGCATTTGAAAATTTGGTCAACAGTTATAATGCTGTTTGGAGAGGTGCTACATCCTTGCTAAGGGAAGTACTCTGAGGATGGCTTCTGAGGGAGTTTAGCCTCAACCTACTTCTGCTTTTTCTCTCTGCTTCATGTCTGCAGTTGAAGATGAGATCTCCTAGCTCCTAGCTCCTGATCCCACACTTGCTGCTTGCTATCACACCTTCCTGTCATGAGGAACTCTTAACCCCTGAAACCATACACAAAAATAAACTCTTCTGAAAATAACATTTGTTCATGGAATTTTACCACAACAACAGAAAAGTGACTAACACAAATGCCACATATCAGGACTGAAAAACAGAGAATGTGGTTTTATTGCATTGAGGATGGCTACCTGAATCTCAGAGAAGATGGACTTTCAATATCTGAAAATCCAAATTCTGTATTTTGGCACCACCCATATTATATTTGGCCTCAACCTATTGCTTTAAACAAGTCTTCTAGCTAACGATTCATTTCTACCCAACAAAATTAAAGGGTGCTTGCCTCTTTCACTCATTAGCCACTCCATCAACAGAGACCATACTTGCACCTGCTATTCCTTACCCACAGTCCTTTCAAAGCCTATATTGAGCTTGACACTTAACACAAAAACCCAAGTCTGAACTATATTTCATATTCATGGCATCATGACATTTATTTTTATTTGGTACTTCCTATCAACATTTGTATCTGCAGCTAATTTACATCTCTTAAGTTGCCAACTGAGTTATAGAAAACATTCTTGCCCATCATGTGTATATGCCCCATATTCCTACATTAGCAAATGGGCAAGGTCTGGGTAATATTTCACACACAGTATTTAACAAATGCTTGCTATATAAATGAATCTTTTATTTATATTTATATAAGTGTTCCTGCATGTCTTTTTGTATGTGTGGTGTGTACATGCATATGAATGAATATGCATGTGTAAGTATTTGTATGGTAGAGGTTGACATCAGATGTATTCCTGTATTGTTCTCTACCTTAAATTTTCAAATGAAGTCTTCCATTGAACCTAGAGTTTGCTATTCCAGCTAGACTGGTAGGCTTCCAAACACCAGGGACATTCCTATCTTTGACCCCTAGTCTTGTTACAGATGTGCTCTGCCACACTTAAGCTTTTACATGAGAGCCAGGATTGAACTCAGGCTCTCATGCTTGAACCCCAAGTATTTTCCTGACTAAGCTATTGTTCTCATCTCCATGAAGTACAGTCAATACAACCAACCAATACAACCTGAAGTCAATCATTTCTTTTACTATACTTTACTACTTGCTGTACTAGGGATTGGCTTCTTTGCATAGTAGGCAAGTATTCTACCATGTCAAATACCCCCCCCCCAATAAGCTTTGGAAGTTGAAGACTGTGTTTGCAGTTGGTGGTGTCAACAGTCCCAGCATCAATGCTGCTTTTATGTAGTAGTTGTTGAGCTCAGGTGACAGTGTCCCTCACATGGAGAACTGAGAAGATGGAAAACAGCAGCAGCATTCACTCAGGAAAAACAAACTGATAAACTGAGGAATTATATTAAGTCTCTTCTACAGAGAACATTCAAATTCTCTTTTTTCCCCCTCAAGCTTGGGCTATCTTTCTTTTGCTGGCAGCACACAATTCACACTATGTTGTACAAGGAAATTAACTAGGAACATGATTGTAATGCTCATATCCATTGACTGAAAAAAGCGATTCAACAACTAAAAGACTTTATTTTGTTTTAAGTGGAATTATTAGGTCTAATATCTATCATTGGAGCAAAGTGGGAAGAAGTGATTTTCCTTATTAGTCTCTCAGAAACCTTGGGTTCTGAATGTAGGCTTGTGAATTCCCTGAGATGTCTACTTTGTGTGTCTCTCAAGCCACTGAGGTCTGTGGCTATGGAGCTCTAAACATCAAGACTGTTGGAGGCAGAGGTATAAAATCTTGACTCCTGCTCTGCTGGGTTCTGGCTGTGCAGTCTGTAGAAAAGTCTTTAACTTCTCATTCCCTTGGCATCTTTTTGGCTCCTATGAATACACACATTTAAATCATATCACATGTGTCAAATGGTATACATTTTTCTTTGTGTGTCTCCTTGGATAATACTTAGAATATCATATAACTTTGTTTTTCTGGGTATGGTTTACATGTCATCACTTCAGATGTATCTGTCCTCCAAGCACACACCAGGGAATAAACTCTTGAACTACAAAATAAAAATCAATAGTTAGTAGAGGGCTATGTCCTTGCTTTTCCAGGCCCAGAAGGAGGAATTTCCTGTGCTGTTTTTTGGTAACCTTTTTTATTCCATGGGTGTGAATTAACTAACTTGTGATTTTAAGAAAACCAAGCTTACCAGTTTACCTTCCTCCTATTCCCTCTTCCTCTTCATTCCTCATCCTCTATTCCTTCTTCCTATGTGTGTCAATGTGTGCACTCAATGTTTTCTTCCATGCTCTAGGTTTTATGAGGCAGCGTCAACCAGCAGTTTTAACTATGATCCCAAATGTTAAGGTTACACATCATATATGTACATTAGCATTACCTTTATCAACAACATAAGGTGACACTTTGCTTTTAATCCCTTATGTCTGAGTAAGTTAGTATATGGTATGTGTGGGTATGTGGTTAATCTCTTAAGTGCTTTCACTCCCTTAGATATCAAAATGTCTGAGCCTTATTTCTGATCCTGGTATCTTGTGAATTACCAAATCACTCGCTACATAATGAATATGTACACTGAAAACAAATTATTTACATGTATGTATTAGTTAAGTATTAGGTTCACCTGCAGGAGCTGAAATTCAATTAGCTCATGTGGTTGTGTCCATATTCAGTTCACTAGCAGAATTCTCCAGTGCTACATGTGCTTTATTTTATTTTAATGTGTAAAGGTATTTTGTCTATATGCATATCTGTGTACCACATGAACGTTTGGTGCCCATGAAGGCCAAATGATAGTGTTAAATTTCTTGGAACTGGAGTTATAGGAGGTTGTGAACTACTATTGGGTGCTGGGAATCAAACCCAGGACATCTAGAATAGCCAGTGGTCTTAAGTCACTGAGTATCTCTGTAGCCCCAAAAACTGTACTGCTTGAACACAGATGTGTAAATTCAAATCTTGCTTTCTCTACTTCCCAGCTGTTTGACTGTTTTCTGTATTTCCTTCTTCAGTCATCTGTGAAGAGTAGTCAAGATGCAGTTTTATCAGAAATAGATTTAGTAGTCAAGATGCAGTTTT